TACCCCTGTCTGACAGGCAAAGTGTTTTCATAGCATGAAGAATCACTTTTGCACACAAGGATTAACAATTTCATTGAAAACATTCATGACTATTTTACAGACCACTCATAATCTTTCTTTTTCTCCAGGTCATTGGTTGTGAATAATTCATATGATTCTTATGTGTAAAGTATGAATGTAACTGCATGATTTGCATAGTGTAAATATATTATAGTTCATAGCTCACACAGAAATATTTTCACAGACACATTTCCATTGACTTTTGGCAAATGCTTCAGTTAAGCTGATAATGATAATGTTAATACAGTGAATGCCATATTCTAATTCTAAAACAATTATTTTTACTCTTTTTTAAGTTTCTTAGTGAGCCAATCCTTCAGCCAGGCATCATAGCAGTTCTTTAAAAAAACACATACCTATACAGTATATACCGGGCAGTGAGAATATTTGCAGCATATTGAATATCAAACCAATTTAAAATGTAATTAAAATTAATTGCATTGGTCATATCTTCAAGTCAAATAGCATTAAGATAAAATTTCTAAAGGAACATTTTTAGAAGCCTAAAAAACTGCAAAGAAGTGGGTTTGCCAGTGCCCTCTGCAACATCTGTTACTGTTACCAGAAGGATTGTGTGCATTTTACAATAGCCAGGAGATTTTACTTTGGTGTTATTTGCAGGAACAGACTTACCTTAAGTGTGACAAGTGAGCTTACCAACTGATCACTGGGCTCATCAGATGAGATCAGGCTCTGCTGGGTGTGCTCCACCTTCAAATGAGCATGAAGTTTGCAAGTCAAATGGGATTATTGGAAAAGCATTCACCCTTAGGTGGAAAATTAAATCTGTTTGAGTTCTGTTTCTTGGTTAGCAAATATTGTAGCCTGCAGCCTCCAAGCATCAAGCAGGATGATAAATGTTCATTTACAAACATTCTGATCTGTGGGAGTCATAACCCGTCCAACCTGTTCGAATTTCAAGTTCATGAAGCATATTCACTACTGGTCAATATTTATGACAGAGGTTTATGTATGCTCAAGGTGTTCTCATCTTTCACTATAATTCTACATAACGTTTGGGAAGACTACAACCTTCTTCACATAACACTTTCTATATCTTTGTCTCTGTCACAGTCCATATCACATTTTGTTTTTTGGGGTTGAAAAAAATTGACAGACTTAACTTGGGAAGTTATTTTCTGAAATACTACTGAGATAAGATTTGGACGTGTGTCTGAATGCATTGCATACATTATATAATTACTTATGGGACCACTGCCATGGGCAGTACTGGTGTACTGGGTAGCTTCTGTATGGAAACAGAAACAGACACGTACAGTAACAAGGGATTTCTAAGCAACTGATTTAAATTTAGGTACAAGACCTCACATACTGTACCTGCTCAGTGATCTCCACAGCTTGAAAGAAATCACAAATATTGCAAAGACCAGATTGTAACAACTGTTTATAAACCTTTATTCTGTACTTACAGTTAAAGGGGATTTCTCCATTTGGAAGTTAGTTTCTCCCCAGAAGCAAAACAACCAGAATTAATAAACAGCAACATGTTTTTGCCAAAGCACTGCCAACAAGAAAGAGTGTCACTCTCCAACTGAAGTGCAGAGATAGGGAGGAGCTGTTCAGACATGCTTAACCTTGTTTTTCTCCCTTGAGGGGTTGTAGAGTATGTTGTGAAACACAAAATTCTTTCTTCATGAACTGCTGCCATCACAGCTGCATTCAAGAAATCCTTGTAAAAACATTATTTAGCTAATGCTTTTATTCAGCGTGACTTACTTTCAAAATAATGACTGGACTGTAATAACATACATGGAGTTATTTAGTGAACAGTGGTATTAAAAGACATGTATGATTCATTGCAATGCAACCAATACAAAGCACACAAATGACAGCAAATGAGAAATCCGGAGTGAGTTTAGCAGAACAACCCCCTCCCCATTCTCCTCTGGATTTTAGGAAGAAATAATACAGAGACTCTCAGAACTTTATCTGTATTTCAATGAATTATTATACATTATTTATTATCCATTATACCTTTCATACATTAAAGGAATTTTATAAGAAATTGTATGGGGGTTAAAACTGTAAACTGGAGTCATACAACCTATTTTGTAGTTGAACAGAATTTTAGGACACTGACATAATGTCACTATAAGAACTATTTTTCCATGTTGCATTTTTTTTAATTCATGTAATAAAGCCGGCATGTTTTATACTTTTTTTTGTCAGTGTATATTGAGTTAATATAAAAATACAACATTTTCTTTTTTTTTTTCAAACATGCTTTTCATAAACAATAGGAGATTCCAGACATTCTCTTCACACTTTATACACTAATATAAAATGTTGTGGCAGAGCACCTGGATAAAAGCATGGTTAGGAAAGCTGTGTTTTTCTCTAAAAAAAAAGAAGTTTTTCTTTTTTTGAACAATCTGCAAAGTGGTTATTTTATTTGGACTGTGGCAAAAACTTGGAATTTCAGTCTCAATAAATGCAGGTTATTTTAAAATTCTTGGTGTCTTTATTCATGAATACATTTACAGTATGTGTTTTTAATTAGGCAGATCCAGTCACACAAGGACAAGTCAAAACAAACTGAAGTCCCCCTGACACCTCTGTAAATCGCTCTGTAAATCGCTTTTCACATACTGCCTGGAATTCTAGTGCTAGATTCAGCAAAGTAATGTAAAACAATCTGCAGAGTGTTTACAGGAAAATCTCTCTAACATTTGAACCTTTTGTTTTTATTTTCTCCAATTTACTGTTGCAAGGATATTGCATGGTTTGGTGCCAGGACACCTGTAGAGCTTTCTTTATCTTTTTCTTTATTTTCTTTATCTTGAAAATATACCATGAATACATGCAAGAATGTACAGAATGAGCTGCATTTGTAAAAAAAAATGTAGCTGTTTTTAGAAAAGAGTACAATTTAAAACTGAAAACACACCGGTTCTTCATCTGTAACTTTAAATAAATTACTTGAGCATTTTATCATTTCAAAACATCACAATGAACAATGATAGAATAATGATATGTAATGTATAAACTATTGTTCGGTCAATTGTAGCCTAATTATTGACAAGCAGCAAAAACAGCTTATCAGCCTGATAGCAAGGCTAGCAGAAATGAATTACTAAAGGCAATATGGAATACTTCAATTAAGTATATTTGGAGGTTTGTGTTGAGCAATGTTGTTTGTACAGTAACTCATGTCTATTATTACAGATTTAAAGTGGGTGCACGACTACAGCAGAGGTTTACATTTGTATTGTACTTTGCTTCTTTAACCAGTTCAGAATATTTTTGATATTTTAGATTTAGAACTATTGTGAAACATGAAAGGGTTGAATAATATTGGTTTCATTTTGTGAACTGGATTTTCTGAAATATTACTGTTCAAAAACAATACTTTCCAAGTGCTTTAAGTCTGATTCTCCTATGCAAAAATAGCGAGAAGATCAGGAAATTTAGCTTAACATGGTAACATGTTGTTAACAACATTCTTTTTGTCAAATATTTTCAAAATGAAAAAAAAAAATATTAATACAACAAGACATGCACTTGCTTGTCTTTACATGGCTCCCAGCAATAGCTCTTTCCTAGAGTGGTACCAGAGGGCTTTCCAGTCACATGCAGTACACTGTTTCATATTTATTCAGGCCATGTTCTCTTCTTTGGGGTGAAGAGGGTTCAGTATTTCACTAATGGACATTTTACTTATGTTTTTACTATTATGATTAAGGTTGCTGCTGGAAGAGGTGTTAGTGGGGCCAGCAGGGGGCGCTCACCCTGCGGTCCATGTGGGGCCTAATGCCCCAGTATAGTGATGGGGACACTATACTGTAAGTAAGCGCCATCCTTCGGATGAGACGTAAAACCGAGGTCCTGACTCTCTGTGGTCATTAAAAATCCCAAGGCCAAATTTCCCATTGGCCCTTACAAATCATGGTCTCCTAATAATCCCCCTCTATGAATTGGCTTCATTACTCTGCTCTCCTCCCCACTGATAGCTGATGTGTGGTGAGCGTTCTGGCGCACTATGGCTGCCGTCACATCATCCAGGTGGATGCTGCACATTGGTGGTGGTGGAGGGGAGTCCCCATTACCTGTAAAGTGCTTTGAGTGGAGTGTCCAGAAAAGCGCTATATAATTGTAAGCAATTATTATTATTATTATTACTATTTTACTCTTTACTTTCATGTACTTCAGTGCTTCTCCATAGTATCTAATATGCTATAGGCTATAAAATTAGAGGCTTATGTTGTGCAGTCAGTCCAATTAGTTGAGACTTTTTTTATTTCTCATTTCTTCTCGCTGTATTTGAAATGCATAGCTGGCGTTCATATGATCACCCTGTTCCTCTAGCTTTAAAATTTCAAAAGCTACAACTGAACCCACACAGTTCTGTAAATGCAGACTTTTTCTTATTGTTTTGAAGCCTACAGTCTGTGTAAGAATCGGTACAAAGACATTTACAGTTCTTTCTTAGATTAATGTTCACTACATATTTTTGCCAAAGAATCAGACTTACGGGGGGCTTGTGTATAACACATAAAGATTATTCTTTTTGAAGCCATGAATGCTGCAATTTGTAACTTGATTTAGCCTGAAATCAGGGATGCATTAGTGGCAGCCTTCTTTAATGCACAGTGCATGTTTTGCCAGGTGCTTCTTACCATCCATTTAGACAGCATTGGTATATTAAATGAAGATTTTATATCTATCAATATTTATAATATTGTGGGGGAAGGTCCTTGAAAACAGCCAATAATAAAAGCTCGGCTCATAAGCATTTAATAATTGTTTTATAATTGCTGGGCCCTGTCAGGAGGCTGAGTACAGAGAGAACAGAGAGAATCTGCTGATAGTCAGCTAGGTTTTGCCACTTGATATGTTTCCAGAATCATTTCTACTGACCAATACATCAATGTATAGAAATTGACAAATTGGAATTTCTGTTCTTTTTTTTATTCCAACAGTATGTCAAGGACTAAGCAACAAGTTGACACTCCTGGGGACTTCACAGGACCACTACAACAATATTGTGAGGATGTACTCTAACTGTACAGTGGTTATGGAGAATCTAGAGATAACCTATGTGGAAAAGGACTATGACCTGTCTTTCCTCAAGGTAAGTAGCTGTTGCCTACCATGTCTGTGTCCATCTGTTATGAACAAACAGCACAAGGTCTTTATTTTTCCAAACATTTACTTCAATAACAATAACATGAATAAGTTATATTTTGTCATAATAGCAATGGGGGAGCATGATTAGTTGGTTAGCAGATCAATAAAGATGCAAAGAGGTAATACAGGGAAGGAGGATGCAGAACAATTTCATGTAGTCCTTGTAGCCCACAATATGATCTTGCCATTGTAAATAAAAATAATTTGCAAAAATTAATGACTGACAGGGAAATGAAGTAGGACCTATATCTTCCTGTCAGAAGTGTGAAGTACTGTAGTGTCTCTTGTCTCTCAGTCTGTACTGTATATAAGAGTTGGGGAATGCCTTGAGCTGTCCTTATTGAGAGCTCAATAAAACTGAATCAGCACAAGTCTGTGCAGCACCAGATAGGCTTTAAAACAAGGACAATTTAGTGTCTCTTGAGTACTGTTTTGGACTATTTGTGCGATATAGTGTATGTAACCCAAAGTTAAGCAAAGCAAAGCAGACAAAAACACACTGGTAGCCTTGCTTTCTGTACGTCATGTGCATCATTTGCATGAAGAAAGCTAATGGGGGAGTTTGGGGGAGTTACCTTTACCTTGTGGGAAAAAAAAAGAATAACCATGAATGTATTTGTGAGGGGAGTTTTTTATAGGGCTATATATGTATAACGATTCCTTACATTTACATAGCACTATTCTGGACACTCCACTCAAAGTTCTTTCAAGGGTGCTTTTCTAGGGACCATTCCCAATTGCAGCACCTACTTGGGTGATGCAACAGCATCCAAAGTGTGCCAGTATGCTCACCACACATCAGCTATCAGTGGGGAGGAGAACAGAGTGATGAAGCCAATTTTTAGATGGGGATTATTAGGAGGCCATGATTAGTAAAGGCCAATGTGAAATTTGGCCAGGATGCCAGGGTAACACCGAGAAGTGCCCTAGGAATACTAACGACCACAGAGTCAGGACCTCGAGGTTTCATTTTAAAGACGGTGCTTTGTTATGGTATAGTGTCTACATTACTATACTGGAGCATTAGGACCCACACAGACTGTAGGGTAAGCGCTCCTTACTGGCCCCACTAACACCACTTCCAATAGCAACTTTAGCTTTCCCAGGAGGTCTCCCATCCAGGTACTGACCAGGCTCACATCTGCTGAGCTTCAGTGGGTTGCCAGTTGTGAGTTGCAGGATGATATTCCTGCTTGCAATATAGTAAGTGGCAGTATACGTAGTAAAAACTACAAGGAATAGATTTGTTTTTGTGTAATACGGCCAATACTTTCTTAAAGCCAATTTCTTCATGTGTCTCCACAGAGTATACGTGAAGTCGGGGGCTACGTGTTGATTGCTCTCAACAAGGTCTCCAGAATCCCCATTGATAACCTTCGCATCATCAGAGGCCACATCCTCTATCAAAATAGCTATGCTCTGGCTGTTCTGTCCAACTTCGATAAACAAAGCTCTGTGAACAAGAACCAGAGCTCAAATGTAGGATTGCAAGAATTGTCTTTGAAGAGCCTTACAGGTGAGTCACTGACATTGACATTGTTGCGGGACTAAAATGAAAGTTCAAGAGACTGAGACATTAACTATTCAGAGACCATTCCTCCAGTAAGTAGTCTTGTGGAACATCCAGGGGCTCTTTTGCAAAACTGAGACTTTTCATTGGCACAGTAGAGAGTCTACACTTTTGACAAAATCAAAGCCTGTACTTACTGTACATCAGAAGGACCCCAACAGTGGGTGTATCATTTTGTTAATTAAATAAACAAATATATCTTAATTTTCAATTTTACATGTTCAATCATCAAGTCATCCTCATCTTTCATAAATACGTTTATGAAGATCTAATTACAGTATATTTAAAGGTCTAACATATTTAAGAATATGGACCAACCTAGAAGGTTCACAAACATTTTCTCTGAGCTCTATGTCTCCTTTTCAGGCATATGTGATTGACTTGATAATTTGACATGCTGATTGATTACAGTAATATTATCTTGTGCACAGTGAACCTGGTGTGATAAAAAGTTAAAACTTTCAAGCTTCTGTATAAATGCCAGTTTCTTTTTCTTTGCTTTGTGTCCTGTGGTTGCTGGTCTGTGAAATGCACATTATAAAAACATGTTTTTGCTATGATACCTGGTATCCATCTGCCTTCTCCATACCAACTGAATTACATGGAGTGTTTTTCTTCAAATTTCCCATAGGAAGAAATCAGAACTGTGCTCAGGCTGCAAGACGTGTGCACTTTGTATGCGAATCTACCTGGAAAGAGGATGCACCAGTATATTTTATAAATTGAAAGGGGGCAATTGAGCCCTGGCTGTTTGGTAACAGCCTTTTACCACTGTTCAAAATCCATTATTACAGGGTGTGTGGCTCTTGCCAAGAGGCACTGCTGTATTAATAGTTTTCCCACTTCTTTTGCAGAAATCCTTAAAGGAGGTGTGAAGTTCACTGGCAACCCATTTCTTTGTAATGCTGAGACCATTCAGTGGTACGATATTGTGGACAAAAGCAAGAACCCAGAAATGTTCCTGATCTTTGCAAACAACACCTTGAACTGTAAGTACTGTGGATACAAAGCCAACATTTCTTCTGCCTGATGTCCTTACAGAAGAGGCATAACAAGACATTATGATATTTACAATATTGTAACAGAAATGTCTATTCAACAGTGCATTCAACAAGACCTGTAAACACTTTGCTACTGACAACAAATGAGAAAACTGTGATAAGATACCGTACTGTAGATACTGTATGTTAATGCAGTGTGGTAGTGTGGTAGAGTACTGTAAGTACACCACTTTATGATTTTATGATTTATTGCATTTCGACATATTTGACCTTCAGTTAGTCTTTACCAAGTCCTAATAGCAGATAAAACTAACCTAATGTGTCAAATAGACAAAAAATGTACTTCATTATTATTTAATTAAGAAAAAAAATCAGCCAGCATTGAATGCCTTTGCACCTACTATACCTTATGGGGGTGTATTTACATGTTTTTGTACCAGGCCATATATACTTGTATTTACAATTGCTTTTTAAGATATTTTGATCATCTTAAAGATGTACTTTAATCATACACTGAAGATGCTTTTGAGAAATAAAAGATGCATTATTTGTTAATAATCACTGCTGATGCACCAACTGGTTTATAAAATATCTGAATTAGGATAATGGAGCAAATCAAAAGAAATTCCTCCATTATATAAATTATGTACACTGGATATCATGAACATTCATTTGGTATTTCATACTTAGTAACAAAAACAAAATTCTATTTTTCAGGCAAAAAATGTGATCCCAACTGTTTCAATGGATCCTGTTGGGCACCAGGTCCCAGTAACTGTCAAACTTGTAAGTTTCAGGTTTCAGTATTTATACAGTACAGTAGGTCACCAAAAACAGATTGTAAACAGCTGGCTCAGGAGGAAATCATGCTAATACCAAAGTCTGTCTCTCCTAAGACAAATTCAGTTTCATTTTCAGTTTTCTTCCAAATCACACCACGTGTTCTACCTGAATCAGATCATTAGCCACCTGGGACTGGAAGTGTGCAAGTGGTGGCACCCAGTTGGCCCTGTGCCACTGAGCGTAGGTTTGGGATTAGGTAGCCTGGGCTCTCTCAGCTCCTGATGTCAAAGGCACCTGCAGGCTTTTGGTTCAGTCAGTAAGGGATGAACCCTTCTATTGATGGGTGCTGAACATCCTGTATTGAGAACTACTGGCCCAGATCAGACTTTTGAAGTCTTTGTTGTGGTTTGGCTTTCTTGTTAATGTTGCTTTTTTTCCATTCATATGGAATTATACATGGTATAGGGTAAAATCAGGTGCAATTTGGTATCTTGTGAAGGGTCCTGATTTCTACTTTCTCTCCAAAGTGACAAAATTGAACTGCGCAGAGCAGTGCTCGCATAGATGTAAAGGACCCAAACCCAGTGATTGCTGTAATGAACACTGTGCTGCTGGCTGCACAGGACCCAGATCTACTGACTGTTTGGTAAGAAATAATAGAATAATAGAATAATAAGCAAAGAGAAAAAATGACTTGCTGTGTTTGTCCCGATAATTAACAGCTACTTTTATTTGGGTAGATATGAAATGTACCAAATATGGCTTATTCTGGTTCATTTATCTTTGTTTTGTAGACAGTGAATCATTCAGTTAATCATGAACCATTCAAGAAATGATTTCAAGATTTAACTGTAAGCTTTCCTGTAAACTTACTGTAAATTGCTTCACTCCCTTTCTTTACAGCTGGTGAGTGACACAACTAGTGTTAGAGATAATAAAAATGTATTGTTGTCTTCCAAGGAATGTCTGTTTGTCTAGTTTCTAGAGATCGCTACCTTATTAAGAAGCTTGTCTTATCAACAGGCCTGTCGGGACTTCCAGGACGAAGGAACATGCAAGCAGGTGTGTCCTCAGCTGATGCTTTACAACCCCAACACTCACCAGCTGGAAATGAACCCTGATGGCAAATACAGCTTTGGAGCTACCTGTGTGAAGAGCTGTCCTCGTAAGGCTCCCTTTATTATTGTGTTCTTTACCTGAACATTGACACGCAGACACACAGTTACCTCCTAGAATTAGGAAAATATATTTGAAAGCCCTGTTTGTTTGCCTACAAAACTGCTGAAGGCATATGTGCGACGGAATGGGACGTTATCTTTGGGAGAATATGGGGGGAGGACTTCAGGAAACTGGAGGTGTTTAGATGTTGTGAGTAATTTGAGTTGAGTAGAGATCAGAAGCCTGGGTCAAGCGCATCAAATGATGTAAAGAGAGGAAAATGCCTGTTTACTGGTTTGGTTTGAGGTCCCTCATGCTGGCCCACTAGATAAAGAAAGACACCCCATGTGTGTCAACTGTGAAAAGAAAGAGATTAATGTACAGGGCTGTACAAAGTGACTAAAATAAATGTTTGGAGAAAGGCAGAGTAGTAGGAGGATAACAACAAAGGAAGCCAAAATAAATTAGGTTGTATCCCTCTTTTACTGTATATTGGATGTTAACCCTGGGTTTATACTGGATGTTAAGTGGGGTGCAGCACACAGCTATCGTTCCTTAACTTGAATTTAATCAGAATTAATATAGGAATAATTTTAAAACTTTTCTATGTCAACAGAGAGCTGAGGTTGGAAAACGTGCATGAGAGAAATGTGGGTGTGGAAGTAAATAGCCCTTTTTCATTTTCTTGGAAAAATAAGCTACAGTTTGTTGAGAGTTACCATATTTATCACCAGATCAAAACCATAGAAAACACTGAAGTGTATTCAAGTAACATTTGGTTATTTTTCAATATTGAACTGCACTATTGTATTTCTTTGTATGTGATGTTTTTTTTTTCTGGATAATTTCAGATAACTATGTGGTGACTGATCATGGCTCATGTGTGAGAACATGCACAGCCAACACCCATGAAGTTGATGAAAATGGGGTCCGCAAATGCAAGAAGTGTGAAGGACCATGTCCCAAAGGTAGTCACAGTCATTATTCTGTTCAGCTGACCAAAGAATGAGAATACAGCAACACTCAGCAATAAACTAAGGGACTGGGCTGAGTAGCTTGTCCCAGAAAATGCTGTCATTTAGGAATGAAATGACTAAGCATGTGGAAATACAGTATATGAAAAATAGTCTGTTGGTGCTTTGTTTAAATCTACATTTTGGACCCTTTTTGTGTTATACAGTAAATGTCCTTAAAAAAGAAAACAGCACACATACTGTAACATATACTGTTGTCATCTCTATATTTATGTACTTTGTGGGTTTTGTGAAGTCAGTGGCTCCTATCCCTAGTTCTTAAGATACTCTTGTTATGTCTGGTTTCCGTTACAGCTGAGCTCTGAGTTATTCAGCTGAACCCTTAATTAGGTTTGAAACGATCATTGAATCAGCTAGAACAATTTGATTGGTTTCAGCTGGGAAATGTGCCCACAGTTCAGGTAGGTGCTTAATTAAGTAACTGACAACTTAGTTGGAATGAAAAATTAGAAGAGACAGGTAGTCTTCAGGACTGCGGTTGGAAACATTGACATGAGATAATAGGACAGTCTGTCATTAGATTTTATATCTGCTTTTTTATTTCTTTCGTGTAGCTTGCAATGGATTAGGAATGGGAAACCTTGTCAACGTTCTATCTATCAATGCTTCCAACATCGATTCCTTCAGAAACTGCACTAAAATCAACGGAGATGTTTCTATTCTGCCTGTGGCTTTTCGTGGGTAAGTCTTGTGTAGTACAGAGAGACTGTGGAAACGTTTTATTGAATCTTTACCAAAATACCATTTGGTTAAATTAAGCCAATTTTTAACCGTGCAGTGATTATACCCCATATATCATCTACATTAATCTGAAAACTGTTGTTTTGTTTCTTTTGTGTTTCCTGGATGTGTCCTGGATATTTTTACTGCTGTTGCATCTGCATTGATCCTTGTTTTTTACATTTAGTATTGTCATTGTAATATTACCTGTATGTATTATGTAATATTTCCTAGAAAGATTTCTCATTGCTGAAAATAAAAAAATGAGAATGATGTGTCACCACAATGCCAAAAAAAAGGTAAATGAGGTATAGGGAAAAAATCAAACCAAAAAGTAAAAGGAACTACCAAGTCGTATTAAATACACCTCATACAATCTCTTATACCTATGTATTTAAGATGCATTTCATAACAATCTGCTTCTTTTTTAAGAGTTCTGCACATTTCTAGCACTAGGGTAACATCTAGCAGAACTGGTCTAATGTTAAAATATAAACGTTAAGTGTTTTTGATAGACAAATTTATCATTGCCACTTGCCTTGCTTTTCTTGGATTTTTTCAGTGACAGCTACACGAAAACCCCTGTTCTGGATCCATCCAAGCTGGATGTGTTTAAGACAGTGAAAGAAATAACTGGTATGTTCAGTGACTGATTATCCATCCATTACCTAACCATTTTATCCAACCCAGGGTCGCAGTCTATGTCAGCAAGTAACGGGTGCATGGCAGGATAAACCCTGGATGGGAATGCCAGTCCATCACATGGCACACACAGACACAGACAGGCACACGCTCACACCAGGGCCAATTTTCCCAGAAGTCAATTGACCTACCAGTATGTTTTTGGACTATGGGAGCAAACCGGAGCACCCGATGGAAGTCCATATGAACATGGGAAGAACATACAGTACAAACTCCAAACAGATAGCACCCTAGTGCGAGGCAGCAATGCTAACTGCTGCATTAATGTTCCACCCAAGTGATTAATTATTCACACAAATGCCAGAAATCTGTTAATTGAGACAGAAATATACAGTAAGAAGGTAAAAATTGGAGATCACTTTTATTACAGAAGAGGGAGAGAAAACCTATAGGGATATCTCTGTACATTACGCCCTGTTTTAATGAGAATAAAAACAATAAAATCACCCTTATTTTGTATATTCTTTTTCTAATGTGTTACTATTGTTCTCTTGCACAAAATTTTGTTCCATTAACATTTTCTTCCTGTGGCAATTTGAGTTTTACTGTGTCACTTCAAAACTAGCCCAACTAACCCACTGTACTTTGTACAAGTTAATTAACCAAAGTCCAATACTCATGCATGTGAGCACACTTTCTTTCTTTCTGTTAGTAGCCTACGTGATTTGGTCCTGGATTCGCATTCCTGACACACACAGCCTTGTGAAACCTGAGCATTAGTTCCAATGTGTCAAATGACTGATCTCCTAGTGTGGTTGATGTGAACACTCTTGACAGACCCAGCCAAGGCGATGTCACCATAAAAGACTCAATGCACTCAGAGATTCATTTGTCAGTTGCAGTACAGTATGTCACTAAAGTAAACACATCAGCCACAGGTTACAGTGACACAAGGAAACACAATATTTAAGATATGAACAAAAGCAATGATACAGGTGATTGCAGAGAGACACTCAAATAATTCAGTATCATTACGTATTGCCTACCTCATGTTGTGTTTTTTTTTCGGTTGCTATTTTAATTCTAAAGGATTTATCTAAAGGATAATGTCACTGGTATTCTATAAGGAATGTAGTCAGATAAATGGAGGGAAACACCTGATGCCAAAGGGTGCCAACACTTCTTCCTCACATTTATTCATTTTACCTCACTTGTGCTTATAATCACCATCCCCAGTTTTTACTGTAATACACCTTAAGCCAATACTACATTAGCCAAAGTGCTGTTTAGCTACCTTGCTTTAAATTGTAATGTAATTAAGGGAGTGGAACTAGTTTGTGTTGAGTTTTTTTTATTTATTTGTATTGGGAGAAATTAGAGCACTTTTCCTTCAGTTTATTTATATCTCATTTGAAAGGTTTCTTGCTGATCCAGGCCTGGCCTGAAAACATGACTTCTCTCAGTCCACTTGAAAACCTGGAAATCATTCGTGGAAGGACAAAACAGCAGTAAGTTGATAAGTTACAATTGAGGCTTACTCTGTACCTGGGAAGCACAGAGGAGATCTTCAGAGGGATATGACCAAAACATGCACAGACATGATACCATTCTGTTCCACACCTATGGGAGTCCCTGTCTAATCAGAGGTGTTAATAAAGAAATATTTGCTTTTTTCCCTAACATTTAACAAATACACAGTGTGAAAGCGAGGAAACGTTGAATAAAGGTTCCTTTGTTTGGGCTTTTATTCTTTAATACTATCCAATAATGTTTACCCTATAATGAAAAAAAAAGACTAAAAAATGGATACATGAAATAAAACATGATTTTTATTTAAAAAGAAAGTTAAAATGAAAATGTGCGTTCTGAGCCTTTGAGAGTCATTGCTAGAGACTAATTCAAGTTCAATACTTTATTCCCATAACAACTACTGTAGTTGCATGGAATTTGGTTGGTGAGCTCATACAATTAAAAGACATACAATACAAACCAACACTCAACACAACTTCACATATTGTAACATTCTCGACAGACACTGGTAATGAAATATAAAAAACAGTGAGATATAGAATAACTTTGAGCCATGTAAAAAGTGTAGAGGTTATGCATTACACAGGGCAGGTGCTGTTACTGAACCTAACTTGGAATTCTGGTCACAGGAGGTCCATCCCCTTTCACCCGACTGAAAATCTGACCTGTCCTCTTCCACCCTTTTTCCTTGTCACCACAGTGGCACAGTGAGTGTGGCAGCTGTGAACATTGACATCACATCTCTGGGGCTGCGCTCCCTAAAGGAGATCAGCGATGGGGACGTGGTCATCAGGGGAAATCCCCACCTGTGTTACACCAATGCGGATCAGTGGAAGAGGCTCTTCAAGCTGGAAAAGCAAAACGCACGGGTTTCCGAAAACGCTGATCCCACTGAGTGCAGTAAGTATTGTAAAATTATACCTGCTGCAAGTCAGCAGACTACTGAAACATGGCGGCAGTCCCTATTGTAAGGAAAATGGTACAGATGGTACAGTGGTCAATAGGTAAAAAAGCAATCATATATACAATTGCCTTGTAAGAAGTATCATTAACAAAAAAACAACCAGAGGTTTCCAATATAGATAACTACAGTATAGACTTACAGTATGATCTACAAATATATTTTGTCATATGCATTAAGTATTCATACAAATTGAGTTAATTATCCTAAATTCATTTATATGTTATTATTAGTATTCTTTTGGAACATTCATTACAACTGTAAGTTGAAAACTTAACATACAGATTGATATGTCAATTTATGAGAATAAATACAGCTAAAGTGAGCATCTCAATGAGCTGCTGATCTCAAACATTAGGAAAGGAATAGTATGCATCCAGAAGAAAAGCAATGTTAATGAAAACTCTTTCAAGCCTTTCATTGTAGAATAGTGCCTGATTTATACTCCACTATACTTAAAATGTGATATTGGTAGATAATATTAGGCTACAATTAAAAACAGAGGTCACATTTGTGTAGCTCAAGTTTCTACTCCTCCACATAAAGTAGTCAAGATGGTTTTTTGCTTGCATAAAATGACAAAACTTCAACAACAAAAGTACAAGTCCTTGTAAGAGCTGTTTTAAATTGATCACGTTGCTCTCATTTTTCCTTCTACACCTATACAACCCTAACCCTTAAAACCACTTGAATATCCCTTGATGAAAATAATAGAGGTTTTTTTCTGGCTGTTGTCACTTGCTTCTATGTAGCAGAATACTGTTCCAAAGCAGCTGTTTCTGGAGGTGCTGTCTGTGATGCCCAACAGTAAATAGCAGTGATCAAACAGCTCTGGAATGCAAAAGCAATTTAAAATTGTGATCTGAGCAACCCCCTGCTTATACAAAATTGAAGGGCCTGACTATAAGGATCTACAAAAGAAAAAATAAAGCTTGAACTTTGCTTTCCACATGCACTTACATTTTGAGTAACTCCCTTTCACATAAAAATTAAAGCATTCATAATTACAGTACATCCCTTGCATGACTGTCAAGAGATTGCTTTGCAGATTGCATTTAGTAACACTGGTAAAAAATTTAATGTATCACATTCTTATTTTACAGATATTGCAGCATTCGTCAATCAATTTTCTAACCACTTAATACCATTTTGGGTCACCAGTGAACAAAAGCCTATCCTAGTAAGCAAGGAACGTAAGACAGGATACACCCTGGACAGGACACCTGTCCATCACAGTGAGGACAGAAAGACACAAACACACACACACACTCACTGACACCGTGGCCCATTTTTCCCAATAGCCAATTAACCTACTAGGCAGTCGTAACTGTGAGAGGAAACCCGAGTACTTGAAGGAAACTCATGCAAACAGGGGGCGTACATACAGACTCCACATAGATTGCACCCCTAGTCCAGATTTGAACCCTGTGCCCTAGCACTATGAGGCAGTAATGCTAAACCACTGTGCTACACACATTGCAGCAATAAGGGCGTTTAAAAGAGTGAAAGACTACCTGATGAGTGCATAATTACCAATGGAATATTAATATAAATGTGAAATGAAATACATACAGTAAAACAATGTATGTTACTGTATATACAGAAATGTCTATCCCACCTAATGTCTTACATGCCACACACAGTACATGTATTTAAGGATTTACTTGTCTTTGGCACCTGCAACAGAAGCACATTGCTACCCAGTTAATTTAAATCATCACAAGATACGATATGTATCTTTACCTGCTTATTTGAAACCAATTAAGTGTATACAGGTATATAATAATATACTGGTAAAATAATTGAAGACAACTCTTCTAGCAGTTTTTCAGAATGGAATGGGACTGAGCAGATTCCTGAAGGTTTTGTAAAGTGGGTTTCTTGTGTAAAGGACAGCACCCCAATGTCACCTGTTGTCATTCTGAGGATTACGTTTCTGGGCCAAAGTGAAGAGTGCCACCTGCTGGTCCTCCAAACCTAAGACAATTCTGTGTACTAAAATGAGACCTATATTGAAGTGTTGTAGAATTTGTAATAAAACTGAAT